CCACCTTTATTTAAGAACTAACATTATCATTAGAATATTTCGAAATCCTAGGAATTTGGATAATCTGTAAAAAGTCATATTTTGAAAGATTTGCTGATTTGACGAGATAATCTCGGCTGCACTGTAAAACCAATTTGTCGGTAGCATCATGGGAAATATATGGCGCGATCTTCTCGTTATTGCAACAATTTGATGTTTTTTATTTCATTATTCAGTCAAATAAGAAATTTTTAATGATTCTGAGAGCTTTTTTGACAAGGAAGTTTTGGGACAAGGAAGTTTGGGCCTTTTGAAGCAATGTAAATTCTAGAGGGAGGCTTCTTCCGTGGCGTTGGTGTCATTGTCCATCAATCAACAAGAATTAAAAATAACACCGAAATTAAAACCAACGAAAATAATGGTAAGAGCGTAGAGAATAAAGAGAGAATGCACGGAGAGCAAGTAAGAAAATTATATTCGATCGTGACTAGATCCTTTATATATCCATCACCGTTATCTTAAAAAAGATTAAAACAGTAAATGAATTACATTTTCATGCCTTATAATGTGCAGTGGGCGTAGATGATAAAAGTTTTTGTTGCGTAGCCGTGTCCTGTGAAAAATGTAGGTCACTTCCAATTTCAGTTTGTTAAATCCATTTTCGCTAAAGGGGGGAATGTTTATCGCATATGTTACACAGTTGCGCAGGCAGACAACTGGATAGACGAACAGACGGACATGTTTAGGTGCATTCCGAATTTTTATATTTTATTAGGATTTTCAAGCTTTGTTCTGTGCCTTATTAAGTTATTGAAAAAAAACAATTAAATTTTCATAAACTATAACATTGGGTAGCCGCGGTTGATTTTTTCCATTTTCCTACGGGATGCTACAGCGTTACCCATAGAATATATGGTACATTTTTTGTATACTTGTGTGCTACAGTTTATGATAGTTATAATCAAAAAACTAAATTTTTATTTCTCCAGAAGAACAGAGATGTTTTCACATTACGTAATATTGTGGGCGTGTCGTTCGATTGATTTTACCCATTTGCAAGATCGGCCTGCGGGCAAGAAGTTCCAGTACGTCTGCCAGGATTGATGTTGACAAGTTCTTTTTTACAGCCGAGAGAATGTTTACAAGAGAAACACTACACGGACGGACAGACGGACATTTTTACATCGGTTTAGAATTTGCTTTATGTACCCTCTAAAGCTTCCTTGTAGGCGTTGTAAACATTTTGACAAAATGAATATATCCCAATTTTTTATTCCGTTTGACAGATAGAATTGTTCTCAGTTTACGTGACACTGTGGGCGTGTCCTTGGATCGATTTGAGTCATTTTCAATACGAACCTGCATGTAAGAGCTTTCCAAGTTTCTGTCAAATTTGAAGTCGACAGCTTTATTTTTGCGGCCAGGAGAATGTTGACCACTAGACAGATGGAGAGACGGACATGTTTAAATCGATTCGACGCTTTGAAAAAATGAATATACTCCTCATTCCTGGGTGATGGGTATAAAAAGCGAGAAACAATCTGAGAAATTTCATTTCGGACAGTTTCATTCAGCGAAGAGAAGAAACGCTTCTGGAATAGTTAAGGAACAGCGAGAAATTGAGAAGTTGATGCATTCTCTCTAGGCATTTTTGCAGTAGAATTTATATGTCTTACTTACTTTATATTATGTAATTTTCTTAAATGTTATTGTTATTACTATTCTTTTCTTTTTTTTTTTTTTTTAATAATTTAATGAAGCAAAAAATACGATTTCTGCCAACGTTTCAAAGAGAACCATAAAAACCTATACAACACGCACTGCCGTTATAAAAACGCACAACCAAAATTCCTCTGAAATTATTAATAACAGTAATAGCAATAATAATATAATAATACCTACAATCTTTGTGAATAATGCGAACAATAGGAAAAGCGTTCATATCGATGATACGAACGATTTGAGTGACAATGGAATTATCGAAGAGTTTCATGATGCAGTGAAATCCGTTAATTGGAATACGAATGAAAGTAAAAATTATACTAATAATGTCAACTCAAATAACGATAAGAAGAAGAAGAGCTCTTCTAGTCATCACAACGAAAATGACTTGACAAACGATAACATAAGCATAACGTTTGAATGTAAATGCTGTTATAAGTCTCGTCATCGGCCAGTTGAAATGTTCCACACTCAACGGGATTTATTAACGCATATAACTGTCTATCATAATTCTGAGAATCCCTATAATTGTCCATTTTGTGAGATGGGTTTTCAAGATGCCGCCTCAAGGACAATGCATCTGAAAGATCAACATTGCCAGAAAATGTTTACCTGTGAAACGTGCGCCGATCGTTTTAATTTACGTAATCACATTGAAAAATATCATACAGAGATCGATTATGATTGCACGCTCTGTCAGAAGAGTTTTCTATCGCGTAAAAGTCTCAATTATCACATGAAATGGCATAAACCTGAATATCAATTAAAATGCACTTATTGTGAACGTTTGTTCATCAATCAGCGACATTTGAAATGTCACGAAGAGACTCACACGGGTTTAAGAAATCAGGAAGTCTGCTCATTCTGCGGTAAATGTAAAAATTGTAATAAGAAAAAAAAAAATGGCATACATATGTATATGCATACATATATATTCCTCTGAATTTCTCTTATTAGGGACTTCGTTTCGATTACATAAAAATGGAGTAAGAGCAAAAAATTCTAAGACCAAAACCTTAAAGTACTACGGGTATCGGCTGTATTGAAAACTCTGCTGCACTTGAGATTTGAGCCCGCGATCATTGAGTTGTTTTTAAAGGAGCAACCACCTCTTCTAAAGTTACGCACTTATAACATGTTTCCGTTTCTATTGAAACCAAGTTGGGACAAGCAATATAACCTCATAGTTTCAATTGTGGAAATCAAATAAGAAGATGACTTAAAGAACACTGCAATTCCTCTAGGAACTGCTGATGAAAAAAAAAGGAAATACAAAGTCGCAAAATATTGAGAATGTTGAGCTGCCATAGCAGCCCCCTTG